TATAGGTTTCGCATTAGAACGATCAAGTGTTCTGGGATTCCCATTCTTCTCAGAGTCAGCCACAGTTTGTTATGATCCACACAGTCAAATGTCTTTGCATAGTCGATGAAACACAGATAGACTTTCCTCTGGTACTCCCTGCTTTCAGCTAAGATTCATCTAACATCAGCTACAATATCTCTAGTACCACGACCCCTTATAAACCCAGCCTGGACTTCTGGTAGTTATCTGTTGATGTGCTATTCCAGTCGTTTTTGGATAATCTTCAGTAAAATCTTGCTTGCATGTGAAATCAGTGAGATTGTTCTATAGTTTCCACACTTTGTTGGGTCACCTTTCTTTGGGACAGGAACAAATATAGATCTCTTTCAGTCAGCTGGCCAAGTGGTTGTTCTCCAGATTTCTTGGCACAACTTGGTGAGCACGTCCAGGGCAGTATCTGTTAACTGAAATATGTCAATTAATATACCATCTATTCCTGGAGCCTTATTTTTTGCCATTTCCTTCAAAGCAGCCTGAACTTCTCCTTGAGCAAGAGCCTATGGTGATGAAAGAAGAAGTTCAGGCTGCTTTGAAGGAAGGAAATGGCAAAAATAAAGCATGTATACACAAATTACAGAAGATCTCCATGTTAAAAAAAAAAAAGGAGCTATTAGTTTATTGAGATGATATAAGCAAAATAAATAAACTCAAAGGAACATTGAGCCCTATAATTGACCAGAACTAGGAACTGGCTAGGTCTTGGTCTTATTCTCTTTTATTTCTATCATAAAATTGGTTGCTTAAGTATCTGCTTTTGGGGTTTCTATAAATAATTATTCATTTAATCATAGAGTTAATGTAAGCTAAATATATCATTTCAACATATAGTCCACATTTAAGCCTATCAGTAAGGTTTCTTACATTATTTTTCATAGCTTCTCTACAAAATCCAATGTCCATTTTATATACAACAAATTGAAACCAAATTTACTGCCATATGGTGATTCAAGTCACACTAATCCAATAGGACACGATAAATTGCCTTGTTTTCTGAGAATATAATTTTTTAAATTATTTTTGTTGTGTGCATTGTGTTTCCTTCATATACATTGTGTTTTATACAATCATTCACATACATTGTGTTTTATTTAATTAATTGCTGTTGATCAATGCTTTTTATCATCTCCTTTCATAAAATCTCTACTGCTCCTTACTAATCCTTTCATACTCCCATCATGTGTCCATAAATCTCTGCTGCTTTAGTGAGTTCCTCCTCTCCCCTTTTTCCATTCCTCTCTCTCCTTTCCCCTCCCCTATTGAACAAATATATACATATAAAATATATCCATATATATATCTATATCTATCTATCTATCT